AATAAACTATATGAAAATAAATGCATTGTAGTACAATCTTAATAATTAACCAATTCCTCTAATTTTAAATAGAATGTTTTTTGGTCTCCTTGAAAATTCGTTGTGATTTACGTGACCGTATAACTCATCCCGGATATTACAGTAAATGTATTTATAAATTATTAAATAATTTGTTTATATAATGTTATATAATTTTAATTATTTTAATTGTTTTTTTTTTACAGAAAGTGGTATTAATGGTGAGACTGAAGACTTGACCAATGACAGCGAAAGCAGCCAAGACAGTCTTGGGACACAAGCCACCAACAGGGGCGCCCTCAATCTCGTATGTATTATATTTATAAACTTATTATTTCATATATATATATATATATATATATATATATATATATATATATATATATATATATTATATATATATATATATATATATATATATATATATATATATATATATATCCGAAAATCAATGAACGTTAAAACCTCAATCAGCTTCCTTAATCCAGTATTAAAGTTTGATTTGAATGCATTAATGAAATTATTTATTCATTTTTGTAATTTTAATTAAAAGATGCAATATTGGAAGCTAAAATATAACTGAATCACATACTATCGGTTTATATTTAAATTGACAAATGAACCCTATGTAAATAAACGAATACTGCAATTCTTGTGGTATTAACCCAAAAATCATGATTTTCGAGTTAAGACGTTGGTACAAATGAGCAATATGTGTTAACAACTAAAAAACAAGTCAAATTGCTATTGAAATTCACAGAAAATTACAATTACAAAGATATACATAATAATTGTAAATAAATTGGACATGAATCATTCATCAAATAATTATAATTTAATACTATGATTTTTAATTATGATAAAATGTGAATATGGTTTGTCACTATAACATATAATGGTTCGCATTTATAGTTGTTTTAATTAAGAAAACAATTAAAAGTTGGAAACAATTGAAAAATGAAAATTATTTCTTTAAATTGGAAAAATAATAATTTAATGATGATTCGGTTGTATTTTTCTTTCTTTCTTTTTTTTTTTTTTTTTAAACCAGAATTTTCTTTAAAACATTTAAATAAATTACAGGGTAGTTTTTACAAAAAAAAAAAAAAAAAAATAGGGGTATAACGATGTATATATTCAGGTATAAATGGCAAACCATTAAGAGCATTCAGATGTAGCCTGTCCAACATTCAGGACCAGCAACAAAAAAATAGGTTAACTTTGGCCTTACCTTGAACAGCCGGAGCTCAAAATATTTTCCCTCAGGCCGAGAGGTGGAGACCATAACACATCTCTGGAAAAAACATATAAAAAATATTAATTATACATATATATACGAGTACATATAAACATACACCAAGTTCCCATTTTACTTCCATGGGGTGGGATATATAGATGAAGATAAAAAAACAATAAATGATATGGACCCCAAATGTTATGCACCCCCTACGTTAAGACCTACCAGCTGCTTTAAATCGAATGGGATTTCTTTTTTTAATTTACATGCCCCCCTAGCAGGAATCAGAAAAAGTATTTACTTTTTTAGATTTGAAAAATCTTTTCTTATCAGCAAATAATTGTTTGCTCGGGAATTCGTTTAATAGAGTAATTATAAAAAGGAAATAAAAGGGTGTTCAACAATAGAAGGAAAGTAAAACAAAAATTATTTTCGTATTTGTTTTCGCAAGATTATTATTGAATAAGAGATGCATTTCTTTCCTTACTTTTTGCAGAAATATCTATTAATAAAGTGTTTAATAGTAATTAGTTCCAAATAATTCATTTTAGTCATAATGTTCTTTTTAATTTGCGTAAAAAGAAACTTCGAAAATTGGTTACATAACATGCAATTTCCGCATTTAGCCGTTTTTGTATTTCTTATTGGATTTTATTACTGTTTCAATGAAAGTTGAGGTTTTTACCGAAGTTATAGGTCTTCATTAGGGCTAGAAAAAAATAGACAAGAATTGTGAAAAATATTAAAATAAATCGGCTGTCCATGGTACAGACCCCTTTTTATCAAATTGTTAACATCCGCCTGAAATTTCGTGAATAAAACTCTTGGAATTGGAGCGATTTCAATCTTAATAGGTCGGCAAACTTTGTCTATATAATTAAGTACTAAAAACTCGTATATACCCATTTGATTTTCACTTTAAACGTAATATAATTTGATCACAAAATCGAGAAAATAGGTGGCTTTCAAAAATATTAGGCCGTTTGATCTATACAACCTCGTTATTTTGACTTATTATGACACTTAGGATTATTCTTGCATCGTGTTTTTTTTTGCCTTGGATAAAGCTCTACAACTTTGGCACACATTAAAAACAGCACTGGCGAATCCACGGGGATGGAGAGGAGGGCTTTCGGGCTAAAGCATTGAAAAATCTTATATATTATTTCTAAAAGATGTTTTTTTGTCGGTACGCCATAACTTCGTCAATTCTTCATCAAATCCAATGATTGACCACTTATTGTTAAGATATTCTCCTCCTTCACATGCGAAAATTAGTCCCATTCCTCTGAAATTTCCGGGAAAAAAGTTATGAAGAAAAACAAACTTTATTTGCTAATAACTCGAAAAGTATGCTTTTTTCTTGATTATGCTCATGATTACTCGAAAGATTACTAAATTATCTATAAAACAAAAAAAAAATCGTAGAAATCGGACAATCATTTACTTAGATACAGTTCATTAATTTTGGTATACTTAATAATTTCTTCCTCTTTACGGAACACATCTTTTTTTTTTTTTTTTTGCTGGCTGATATATTAACTTTATTATTTCTTAAAGGCATTTGTTTGTTTATACATTTAATATTTTTTAATAATTTATAAAACCCCAAGATCGAGGCTTTATTACCTTTATTATTTTCCACTCAGGTTTTAAAAATAGGCCCTAGCAAAGCAATTTGTACAAATATTTTGGTATATTATGTTTAACGGAATATTGTAATAGACCAACGAAAAACAATTAATTCCTCCCTCACATAATACATAGGATCTACTCATTTCTTTTTCTTCCAGCATAATCAAATTTAATATAAAAGTTAAATAAAAGCCTCCTCCAAAAATAATTAAATCCTGTTGTGTTTTTTTTGTTTTTTTAACTAAAAACTAACAGTTTTTTACTCTCTACTATTTCAAATACTTCATTTAGGGCTACGCTTAAGAAGAAATTATTCTTACAAGCTATTTTTCCACTGTCGGTCTTGAACATGATTCTTGAAAAATAGCCCAACGAAGAATGGAATCCTATTAGAGAGAGTATCGAAGGGGATGGAAACAGGATTGTGCCTGAGGAATACTTGAGCGGGCGGGCAGTGTATCGGTATTAGGTAAACATAGGGGGCACCAGTCAATTTCCGGCCCCCCCCAAGTTACCCCTCGAGAATATTACCGCCTTCGCCCTCGAGCTATGCTAATTTCGAAGCCACTCTTGCGGAAAATGCACATGAAATGAAGTCCGAGAACTGGGCGTGCAGGAAGTGGACTTGATAATATCGAACTTGAAGTCGGAAAGATATTTGAATGATGAGTTATTTTCTCGAAAAATTAGTCAAGTATTAAATGGGGACAATCATTTAGTAAGATAGATCGAAAATTCTGGAATTCGATTCGTCGCGCTCTCTATCAAAATACTATATCTATATCAAAATAAGTATCGGTTGGTGACTACAATCATCACCGCGAGTTGCCCGGCAACCAGATATTTGAAGATTTGAGAGACAAGAAAAGTATGAGTTCGCGTCTCGGTGCCAGAGGTGATTTTAAATTCCCCGCCCTCACCCTCCGGCCCAGGAAAATCCCGTATAGCCTAAACGGCGAGGTAGGGAAGAAAAAAAAAAAAAACTACGATCATCAGTGCTATACTTAACAAAAATTAATAATAATATCTCGATTACTTCATTTTTCCGTTATAGAATTATCTTTGTATGGATAAAGAAACGAATAGTTAACTTCAATCCAAAGGGGTATAACTGTTAATTTATTAAATAACTGTTAATTTATCCTAATTGGAATATTATAATTATAGAGATGAATATGGTGCACGGACACCGAAAGCTTCTCTACAAATAAAGTTTTAAAATAAAATTGAGACTGTCAATGGTAAAAAAATCCTGAGATTATGTTATATTTTTTAAATTATAATGCACATAAAGATACTAAAAATTAAAAAAAATCTCTCTAGAAGTATTATTGTACGTGTAACCACATATTTTTTTTTATTAGTGTTTCGAAAATCACTTAGACATCATTACATATAGTAAGTTTCTTTTTTGCCAAAGTAAATATCGTTATGTAACTATAAAAAAAAAAACTTTTGAGCTAATAAAGCCCTCCTCAAAATTAAATCTATGATTCGCTGCTGATATGAACTACTTTTTTTTATTCTAATTTTACTGTCACTATCATTGTTTTTAAGAACAGAAAAACAATATAATTTCCAGGAAAGGGTTGGTTTGAGTTATGGTTACCCAGGATGCTAACTGATTTTACTTAAAATCCTCTTTAAAATTTTAATCCTCTTTAATCTTTATGTGCATTATAATTTAAAAAATATAACATAATCTCAGGATTTTTTTACCATTGACAGTCTCAATTTTATTTTAAAACTTTATTTGTAGAGAAGCTTTCGGTGTCCGTGCACCATATTCATCTCTATAATTATAATATTCCAATTAGGATAAATTAACAGTTAATTAATAACATTAACAATATATGTATTACATAATTTTTGAAATGTCATGCAATTATTATCAGACCATGTCATACCTTTTATTAGTTTTGTCTATTTAAAAAACATAGATGATAAGAACAGTGTTCTTGTTCTTTGTCTCATGTCAACTTTTTCCAAGAATAGGACTCCTCTTTGTCGGACACCATCTTACCGAGTGCTGAGGATTTACTGTCAGCACCCTCTATATTATCGCAACTATTTGGTAACTAAATTAATTTTGGTGACTTAGTGACTGTCAATGGTAAAAAAAATCTTGAACTTATATGGCCATAAAAACAGTCTAAAATTACCTAATGAATATAACATATTGTGATGGTTTAGAGTATTTAGCTTAGACTACTCGCAGCAACAAATATAGACCAATGAAAAAAAAATATTTTTCCATTTTGGGGGATTTATCCCAAAAGCCTCTTCCTCCAGCTTCCGGAGATCCGCCAGTTATTCTTATTCTATTACACTTGCTTTGGGTTTGAAAGTTAAAAGTTCTTCTATTTTGAAATTCCATGGTCCCATACGAAAAATTCATAACCAGCAAAACATGCCTTTTAATTTTAAACCTCATTAAAATGCTCCTCCCTCAAAAATATTGATACAACTTGCACCATGTTCTTTTTTGTGTACTAAATAAGTAATTAAAAAAATTAATTTCTTCCTTTTCTCTCTTGCTAAAATAATTACAAAAAATCTTTAAATCCAATGTTAATAATCTCAATATGTACATATTTAATAAGTTGGAGTTTGATTTAAAAGAGAAAAAAAAAAAAGACTGAAAAAAGTTTTTTTTTTATAATATTGATGAACACAACTTATTTTTTTATTAAATGTTTTAGACATTTAGTTTTAGTCAATACATAAAAGAAATGAAGTATTTTCTAATATTAAAATGTTTCTTATAGTTCATGCTTAGATTTTATTATATTAATTATGATTGTATAATAAAATAATTATCATTAATTAAATTGTTTTATTTGAAGCAGGTAACAGACAGCCAAAGGCAAAGTCGCCCAGCGAGTGTCAACACACCTCCAAATCCAACCAGTGTTCAGGCTGCTATTGCGGCGATTCAAGCCGGTCAATTGAGCCAGGTGGGTATCTATTCACTCATTCCCCTTATTATTGTTTAAATGAAATATGTTTTTTTAAAAAATATATATATATATTTATTTAAGCAATTATTAATAAACTTAATTTGTCTTTATAGCTCATGGTACAATCTCAGCTGGGAGGAGCAGGGCTCCAAGCGTTGCACCAACAACTTCACCATCACTTGCAACAATATGTCCTATTTCAACAACAGCAACAGCAGCAGCAGCAACAACAATCTTCACAACCCACATCCCAGCATCATCCCTCGCCAGCTCAGTATTTCATGCACAATCAAGTAAGTAATCTCTGAATGGTATCTTTCAAAATATCCTCGACCAAATAAGAAAAATGTAAATCACTTTTTGTTCATGACTTAAGTTCTAAATGTAAATGTAACATTCTCTTTAACGTATATTTTTTTAAATATATATTTTATCCTAATTATTTTTTTCAATAAAAATAAAATTGAAATTTTAAATATTTTTAATTCAATTCAATAAGAAAAAATGTATCCCTTTATATTTTTGATATGTATATCACTAGTCTTTTAGTATAATGAAAAGTTGTTCTCATTTTTTTCTTCTTTTTTCTCTAGGGACTCTTGACACCAAGCCTAAGGCCAACTCTTACACCTCCAAGATTATCACATTCTCTACAAGTAAGTAAAACTTTATGTACATTATAAATAATTGATATAAATAGCAAAACATTTAATTTAAAAACTGCCATCTAGAACATAGAACTATTATTTCGAACCATTAAATTTCAATAAAAACATATATCTAAGTTCAACTTTAAATTTTAAGCCAAACTTATGTTTAAAAAAATTCTAAGAGGTTCTGTTTATCAGTATCATTGAAAACTAGTAAATTCAAATATTGAACTTTGCTTATAGTATCGCATTTATACATAACGTAATAATTATTTATAATTTGTATTATTATTTTTTAGGGAGGAATTTTGGGTGATAATAAGTCAAGCCCCCTTCCTGGAAAGGTTCCTAGGCCCCCCCTACCTCAACAACATTCGATGGAACCTGATGAAACAACAGATTTAGAAGAGCTTGAGCAATTCGCCAAAACATTTAAACAAAGAAGAATAAAGCTCGGTGAGTTTATGCAAATTATTTTAACGATTTAACTACTCAAAGTGCATATAGACTAGAAAGTATTGTAACGAAATATATTCATTCATCTATAAGATTTATGCCTAAAATGTGTTATTTATTCTTTTACAGGTTTCACTCAGGGAGATGTTGGTCTCGCAATGGGAAAATTATATGGAAACGATTTTTCCCAAACAACGATCTCAAGGTTCGAAGCTTTAAATCTGTCTTTCAAAAACATGTGTAAACTGAAACCTCTTCTCCAGAAATGGCTTCTCGATGCTGATAATTCTTTGAATAATCCCAACTCCCTTAGCAACCCGATGACGACGCCAGAAGCCATAGGTAAATTTTATCTCAATAACTTTTGTTTTATAAGTTTGTGGTTGAATATTAGAAATAAACTTTATAATTTTACAATAAATACAAGCATTAATAATATATGCAAAATAAGAAATGCTTTATTTCTCCCTTAAAAGAAAAATTAATAATATATTAAACAAATCATTTTATAGGGAGGCGGAGAAAAAAGAGAACTTCGATTGAAACTTCAGTACGAGTTGCTCTTGAAAAAGCATTCCTCCAGAATCCAAAACCAACATCAGAAGAAATTTCCTTATTAGCAGACAGCCTCACTATGGAAAAAGAGGTCGTCCGCGTTTGGTTTTGCAATAGGTATGCATAAACTGTTTTTTATATACTTAAATGAATAATTTCAATAATAAATGTAAATTTGTTTACATCGTCAATTTTTTGCAAAAAGTTGTTAAATCACATTTCATAACCTTAAATCACTAAAAGCTTAGATTTTCCCTTTGCGAAATAAAAAAATTGTGAGATTTTTGTAGCTATATTTGATATATAAAAGGGCATAATTAATATTTTAGTGTTCTTTTTATCGATAAATAAAATTGAAATTCATTAAAACGTTCTTAAAAGTTGAGCTCCTTCAAAAATTTTCTTTAGGGCATTTTTGCAATGAACTGACAATGTAAGCCAAAGCGAATTGTATCATTTATTTTTTCAATCATACTGACTTTTTTTTATGTGTTTCTTTATTTTTTAAACCTTATTTTATTTTGGTCTTTCAGGAGACAGAAAGAAAAACGAATAAACCCTCCACCGACATCAGCAATGGGCTCGCCCGGCGGCGGAATGTTCGGAAGCCCCCCACAGTTGGGCGGATCCAGCGGACCCCTCTCTCTCGTCGCCCCCCCTAGGACACAGTGACCCTGGCCTCTTCATCAACCATCACTGCCTCCGTAAATCCCTCGCATAATGAGTCACCTCGATCCAAATCCTCATAAACTCGTCAAGAGTAATATATCATCATTGTTGTATAGTGTAAATATTATAATAGTTAGGGCATTGTATACAGAAGATAATTAATGCCTATATTTTAATTCTCTAATCATTAAATTAATTATTTAGTTTATAAGTGTTTATATATAAATATATATACATATATCGCCATTTATGTCACATTTATATATTTGTAATATAAACTAGAATGTACGAATTTAGAGATTTTATCGGATTCTTAAAAATCCACAATTGTAATAAACAACATTAATTGAAAAGTCCTTCCTAATCATTGCGTCGTCCATCGTGTCGATTCATCTACCATAAGAACGTAATGAATGAAAGAGTGCGTGCAATTCTTTTTACCGACAACTATAAAAGTTTGGTTTATAAATTAAGAAATATTATTTATATTAGTATGTATAGGAGCTGTATAGACAAATTTATGTGTACAGTTTAGTATTGCCTTTTTTTGTAAAAGGTGCTGTCTTTAATGTATATAGACCTTAAAAATGACCATTATTAACTAGCCTAGCCACTTGTAAAGGTGTAGATTTTGTTTTCAAAACTTTTATTTGTTCTTAGATGCCTTCCTTCCTTAATTTATCGATGTACATTGATTTTTTTTTTTTTTTTTAATTCTCAGCTTTTGATGAACCTTACCTGTATAGAAAGTATAGAATTTTAACTTTTGTATTATTTTGACTCTAAGACAATGTTGTATTATTTATCATTTACTATCCCTTCATGGAAGGATTCGACAAATTAAACTTTCCGCTTTACTTTGCCGAATCCATCCTCCGAAGGTGTGTGTTAAACTAGGATAAATAACTTGTATAAGGTAATCAAATGATATTTTTAACAAGGGTTCGGTGACTCCAAAGATATTAAAAATTAAATATTAATCTGGAACTTTTATAAATGAAATTGATCTCAGACAGAAGCGAGATAGAGACAGAAGGAATGAGACATGAGTCTTCCAAAAAAAAGGTTCCAATTGTTACAAAGTTCCTAAAGGAGGATGTTTGGAACAAAAATAACTGGGTATTTTATTAATTATAAATATTTATGTATATCCAGCGTTGTTTTATTAAGTCAGAAATAAATTACAAGTAAGAAGCATCTTTACGTGAGGACCAACGACAAAAGAGTTCCTATTTGCTTGGTTAGGGCAAACGATTTATTTAGATTTTGTAATTTAGTATATTTTTATTTATGTTCGCTTTAATTCTGTGTTCATTTGTTTTTTATTTATTGACTAGGCAGGGTCTTAAATGAACTAAATCCTAATTATAATGATATTTTTTGTTCGTGATAAAAAGTTTACTAATCCCTTATTAAAAATACTGTTTTTTTTATTTTGTTATTTTTATTATTTTTTACCCTTTTCCTTTGAGATTTTTAATCATGACGTTGGATTAGTGTATAAACACCTTGAGCTATATATAAATCAGATTACCAGATTTTTATGCAATTACATAACTTAAAAAAAAAAAATTTGTACCATCATAAAGTACTACTACGCATGGATAATGACCAAAAATGTTTCATAAAATGATACAGTTAAGATCCTCTAAATACAAAATAAATTAATTAATTATTTCCCAAAATTGGTCATGTTATTAATAAGTAATGAGCCATTAAGGTAAGAAACAGAAAGAGGCACAATAAAGTAATTGTGGACATGCTAGAATGATTATTAAGAACATTAAAATTATAACAGTTTAAAGTTTATTTTTGTTAAATGAAAACATTTATACATACACAAAATGGTTTTCATTTATGAGAAATTGAAGCTTTTCTCAGAAACAAAAATAGATTTATATTTATAAAAACAAAAACAGTTATGTTTTAAAATGAATCGCTAAATGAAGTTTAATTCCCATTGGTTAAAAATTGAAGCATTACATTATTTATAGTTTTTCTATTCCTTTTTAAAATTCAGTAGTTTTCCTATTAAATTAAAATATTTTTACATAATTGAAAAATATTTTGGTTATATATTTTAACATAAGCATTCATCCCCTCCTCCCTTAGATTTTCCATTTGCTGCAACTATAGAGGAACTATTGCAATGATGTGAAATTAGTGTAATTTGAGAGCTTTCAAGGCCAAATTTGGAATTTTCTATCACAGTTTTACAGAAATTAATCCAGTATTTAAATTTTCAAATATATCTTCTGAAAAATCCTTAATTTTTAGTAATGACGTTTTGACATTGCAGCAAATGTGCGATGAATAAAATAAGAATATGTATATAAATCCACTATTTCAATAAGATGTCAGGACATATGTTTAAAAAATATAAATAAGGAAACAGCATGTAATTGCAAAAAAAAAAATCTGGTCTCTGCATATAACAAAAGAGTTATTTAATCTTTAAATATATATTTGTTAAGAAGAAGTTTAACAAACAAAATGGAAAAAAAAGTTTGTCATATTAAGTTTTTTTTTTCATTTCTTTAGCAGTTTTCGGTACAAATCTATCTATACAAGGACAATACTTATGGATACTATTCATGAAATATTCAATTTTAAATATTTAGTGATTTACCGACATCATACATTAATTTTAGAATAAATTTGTGGCTTAGTATCCCTTTAAAGAGAATAAGTCTATCAAATTATTTGCTAAAATATTTTTAGTTCACCACTAAACACCTTTTAAAAAATTACAATGATTTGGTTGGCTTTATTCCCTTTAGGAATCTATAGATCTACAGATTTATTTTATCAATTTTAGTAAACAGCGTGTAGAAAAGGATGTGAACAAAAACTTAAAAAAAAAAAAAGCAAAAAAAAAAAACTCAGGTGTGTATATTAATGTATACCATTTTTAAGAAAATTGTTTAAATACAGGAACTATAAATAAATTTGCTATTCTATAAATAATAATCATTGTGTACCTAATCAAAATAGACTGTTAGCGTAGATATCCTTGAGACACGTGTGCATGTTCAACTTTAACTTAAATATTTCTGTTTCAATGTTGTGGATAAGTCGGATATAGGAAAAAAAAATCAAGTAGAAAATAAAGAATTGTCAATGAATTTTTATATATTTTTTAAAAGTAATTATAAGTTAAAGCTGAACAGTCTTCATCATATCATTTCTCATTCAAGGATTTTTAATAGAGTTTTCTATGGGAAATATGTAATTTCGTTTGTTAACGAAAAAATAAACAAAATACAAAAAAAAAAAATAAGATGTTGCAATTTTTTTAAATGAATGTATCAATGTATATTTTAGTTGGAAAAAGTTTTGTTATGTACAGTTGGGATAGGAAACGGGTGCAGTTTCTCCAGCCATATCATACGGAGAGAGAGCACACGTTTAGTAATAAAGTTGTGAGAAAGTTTTGTTACTAGTGTTGTAAAGTGCAGTGTAGTTATTGTATGTGTACCTAATTTTCAGTTTATATCCGACATGTACAAAGAAATATGTTTTACTTGTCAGTTGGGCAATAAATAGTCAGTCAGAATAGTATTTTCACAATATCTTTTGTTATTTTTACTGAAATACCTTGCTACATTTTACTTATCTTATTTTCAAATATCTAAGCCATTTCATAAATTAATTTTATTAAAACATTATCACTATTTTATAAGGCAACGAGTTATAGATTAATATATCTAGAAAGGATATATTATGGAAGATTAATATTTCCTCCCACAAATAAAGTTGATGTGTAACATCAATTTTAATTGAATCTAGTATATTTTTAAAATAAATAAATAAAACTTAATGAATTAGGTGGATATTATCCAGTAAAAGATATCTAATAGGTAGATTTAGTATTTATTATTAAGTCAGCATTGAAACTTTAAGCTGAGTCCTGGCCTTATTTACCAACTTCTACCAGTTGGGAACATGCATGAATTTTCAGGTTTTATTCGTCTGTGAAGTTTAAGTAAAACTAACCATCTATCCCTATGAAACTATCCAAGCCAACCTATAGCACAATAGGTGATGTAGCAGTTTTGTCCTCCTGGCCACAGAACCTGCAGATAGGGACTCTGTTAGCCTGAGTTTAATTATATGATAATTTGGTTTACAGTGACCTGTATAGTTCACTGTAATTTTCTAAAGAGAATTCCTGCTCAGGTTAATTAGCTAATAACTTCTCTCAACCAATATATCTCAGCTTCTTCACCATAAAGCTCCCTGATTTTTCTTTTGATAAAACTAAAGATAATACCACAAATTGGTTCAAGCGTTATAGAAGTGGTTTCAGAGTGGGTCTTTGCTGGCTAATTCATATGCTTTTTCATTACCAGTAATTCCAGAATGACCTGGTACACTTTCGATAGTTACATTATTAAGCATAGATAAGTTGTTAATGATTGAACAGAAATCCCTAACAACTATAAATCTAGTTGTATTATTCCTCAGTGCTCGTGTTGCCAGCAAAGATAAAGATCTTCCGACTCACCAACTCATCAAACAACAGCTTTGATGTACAGTGAGATATCACCAGTTTCTCAGATTGGAATACTGTTGCATATTTGCCAAGTGGTATAGACATGTCATCTGAACCAGCATTCTTGCTCCTGAAGCCGGCACTATAATCACAGGTAATTAATGAGCCATCATTATAACAGTTAATCACCATAAGCATAATTACAAAAATAATTAGCATTAAAGAAAAGTAGTGAGGCTAGATCTAGCTCATGGAGACTCAGCGTTGTCAATCCAAGCAGGTGACTAATTCATACCATTCTTATATGTTTTACCTTAGAATAGCGTTTCCAGCTTCAAAAGTAACATCCAAGAAATATCTTTCCAGTTTTTTCTCTCACTCTGTCATCTCTGAATAGAAATATTTAGTTTAAAATGTATTTTATTTGCTTTTATAAATCCATTACGTAGAACTAAGAGATTTTTGTTAATATCATGTTTGGCAGTCATATACCTCAAACCATGTTGGACTCAAGTCATGCACTCAGTCCACTATACCTTACAGACATACTGTTAATTCAAATTTTTAGTTAAATATAAACATTTTCCTTGTGATTTGAAAAGTTCAATTTCTGTCTTATATACAATCTCTATCATTTGAATTCTATCACAGCTCAAATTTGTATAATTTTTTCCCATGCAAATAAATAATTTTTTCTATCTGATATTGTTGCCATCCTCTCTTCACATTCAGAATGGACATAGCATTACCAGCCACACCATTCCATCAAAGCAAAGGACTTCCTCTATGTATTCTTCCATTAACCCTTTAGCGATGGAGACTCATATACGAGTCGAGAGGGAATCTGACCCAGGCAACAGTAGTTTTATATATGAGTCGAGATGGAATCAGACTCAGGCGATGATGGACTCTTACATGAGTTGGGAGCCAGTCAGCTATTTAGGCGTTCATTGATTATTTCCATTTTCAACCTATCTAGTGGCCTTGCTAACAATTATATTAAAGTTAGGTTAAAAAAAATTGGAATGATCCAAAATAAAAAGGATAACACGGTAAGTGAAGGCGATGAAAATTATTCTGTCACAGGGGCATTGAGAACTGTCAGTTTTTGACATCCTCAAGGCTATACCTCTCTTCTCCTCATCGTCACTAAAAAGTTTAAAGTCTCTATCATTATTTTGATAGAGTTCTGAAGTTTTTAAGTGAGCACAGTGCTTAATGAATTAAGAAAATTTTGAATTAAGTTAGCTATATGGTATCTGTTAATCATACTTCCACTCCTACTTACAGTGAACTTCCTTCTTTCATTTTTATAATGGCATAGTGAGACAGATTACATTTAGTGAGAGGAATAAGAAAAAATCTGCAGGGAAATGGACTCTGAAGATGAGGAAACTGATTTTTTAAGTATCATATCACAATCGCTTACTGCTCTGAGCTAATCTCTTTCATGACTCAGAGGAATAAATTACCTCTTTTCCATGAGGATAGTTACTTATTGGAATGATCTACATTAATAAAAAGCCATAATTTCATTTTAAGAGCTATTAAGGTATAAAATTAATAGATACAAACTTACCCAGTTCTCTTCTTTTATTTCTGTATTAAATGAGTCTTTCATTTGACACAATGACTAACTTCAATTTCAACATTTTTTGTTATGAATTTTAGTGATATTTCTAGTGGGAAAATATATACCTTTATTCACAGTTCTTTATTTCAACACTGTATGCAATCATATACTTTGGAATCAAGTTACTCACTTTCTGTACAGATATTATAAATTTTCCAACTTGAAATATCACTAAAATGACTTTACTCAAAAATGTTGAAATTGGAGTTAGCCATATTGCCAACTGAAAGGCTCAAATATAAAGTTATCGAACCTCCAAAGTATTAAACTGTACAAATACTATAATAAATGCTAATCTCGAACTTTGATGATATAATTAATAATCTGTTAATGAGTGATATATATGAATCATATTGAATTAGTTTAATTGTAATATAATTATAAAATATAAATGATTCTTAATGGGGGGAGTTTTATTTCTCTGTATTAAACTTTATAATTTATCATCCCTATTCACTATTCAAAATAAGGAATAGTATTGAATCATGAAAATAAATTACATATTCCATAAAATTAGTCACATATATTTAGCATCTGTTTTAGTAACTGAATAAATAACTGCTATATTAAACCGTAATATAATATAATAATATTAAACCATAATTATATAAGTAAGACATAATTAGTAATGAACAATAATGATGAAATCTGTTTAATTTCATTTAAAATTAAATATATTCTTAAAATTAAAAAACTCCATCATAATTATAAGCTTCACTTACTGATGGGGAGTCACAGAAGAATACTTCATAAAATTACTGAAATAAAACACTTTCACTTATCACATTCCCAATACTAATTTAAAAAACGCACTCGAATTTGTAATGATGACTTTACCGTTTTAATTTAAGCCCTATTTTAAAACAATGGAACAATTTTTTAGAGAGGTGTTAAAAAACTTACCGAAAAAAAAACCGTTAAAAGGATACTACTTAAATCAAAGAGGCGTCTCTAATTAATTCTAGAACATTTTTACCGGGAAAATGTAATTAAAAAAAGGAAATATTTAATAAATAATCAAAGACTTATAAAAATATATCCTATATTATAAATAGATATAAAATAACCCATTTATTTAATTATATCAATGTAATTAACACGATAAGAAAAACATATAAAAAAATAATTATAAAGGAAATAATTAAAGAGGGGGCGTTTTAGATATTCAAGCAAATGTTTAACTAAATTGGATAGTCATTTCTCAAGACCAATAAATCAGTTTAAACTTTAACATCTAATGATCATATTAAGAATATATTAATCAAACATATTAAGTAAATATAATAACAAATTATATGATGAGAGTTGAGTATGCAAATATATTAAGAGGATCCCCCAATGTCCCCTCATCCCTGAGTAAACGCCACTTCGCTATTATTTTTACTGCCCATATGGATGAAATTCTCCTAAGTAAAAATTTTAATAAGGATATGTCAGAAGAATATTTGGAAGAATACCATTAATATATCAAAAGAATGTTGGGTTTGTCTCACTTGTTTCGGCGATTTTTGTTTTAATTTAATTTATATTCATGGTGAACTTATATAACTGTAAATGAAACCAACAGGGTATTGGTAAGCTGCACTGAAATAGCTTAAAAAATTCAGGAGATCTGATTTAGTAATTTGAGCTATGAAACTCGGAAATTGGTCGTGCTTTGGCTCAAAAGATCGCCAACTTTTAACGAAGAGATTGAGTACATTTTATATATGCACTAATTTGTTACTTATTGGGCCCATATTGTTTTAAAACACTCACGGGATCTTACTGAATAATTTGAGACACTAAACTAAAAAAATTGGTCCGGTCGTTCGATCCTAAAATCGTTATATACCTACAAGCAGTCAACCCAAAAACATTTTCATCTTATGGTTTCAATTTAGTCGAGTAAGAAGAATAGGAGTGGGCAGTAAAAAACACGCAAACAGAAGAACGTTCGAAAACATTACGTAACATCGGCTATAATAAAAACACGTAAACTAGAACACATGAGATCCCAAAATGTTAATCTATAAAAAGAAACTATTGCTCGTATGAAAGAATGAAAAGTAAATTTTATTCTGGAACATTGATTCCTCTAAGAATAATTATAAGGAACAATGAAGTGATATTGGTCTGGCATTAAATAAGTTACGTAGTTATCTAATCCTAAAATTAAAATAAAGGAAAAGCACAAGCAGACATATGAAATTAAGACAAATATACAATGTGTTTCAGTTCTTAATGACCAAGCTCTAGGAAGTGATTATAGACAAAATCTCCAACAAAAAAGTTAATTTAACGAATGTGGCGATCGTTAAGTAGAAGAAATATTTTTGAGAAAACAATGATTAAATTTACCAACGTCAATGAGAAAAGAGACTTTAAGGAGGTCTGATAGGGCCGATGTACTACTGGATTTACGGTACCCATACACGAGCAGCATATCTATATAGTCTGGATTCGTACGCAACAGTACAGCGGTCGTATTAGACCTGAAAGTTCCTTTAATCATTGACCTTAGTAAATTTAATCATTGTTTTCTCAAAGTAAATTTTGTCTACTTTAAGATGGTGTACTTAGAATTTAATTATCTTAAACAGTTTTTGAGAAATTACTTCCGATTCAATTAAA